TGTCCATTGTCTCGGTCAGTACTACAAACAGTTTCAACAGTTCAATGGTATCAAATTTTTAAGGAAGACAGCCAACGGATCGAGCTTTCCCTACGCGCACGTGTGTCGCACAGGATGGTTTTCGGAGGAGGCGCAGATGCAGTTCGAAGAGAAGTCCTAGGTCCTAGGTTACATGCAACATGTCTATAACAACCGGATGCTTCATGCGGGCAGGGTCGCATGAGGCCTTTGGAGTTTGCTTCCGGGGTCCTTGTGATCACGAGTGCGACTGCCTTCCGTTTGTGTTCAGGCCTCGAGATTCTCTAGAAACCACAAGGGGTCCTTGATCACAGCTGTGTGCAGAACAGTCCTGCGTTTGTCGCACCATGGAGCTTGCAAGATGCTTCCACCATGAAGCACAGGCCGTCAGGAGTCTCGATCATATCCGAAAAGTAAGCCTGCATAAACTTGAGATGACTCACATCTTCAACCTTTGCAGCCCTCCATCTTGCACAGAACAAAATGAAATTCATGCCGAGACAAGCGGCCATCACTCTACATAGGAGCCTCCATGAATGTCAGAAGAGTTTCTCTTGTCCCGTACTATGATGAAAGGGGCGTGCAATAGCAAGATGTCGCGTTTCCCCATCGTCATAACGATCATAGTCATAATTGGTTCTGTGTCGTGCATTGGCACAGTGCAAAGCCTCAAATCAAACCAGTTCGGTGTCGCCAACACACCTAAAGTACCAGTAGCAGCCCACAGAATCCTTCAAAACTATGTAAACCCCATACGAAACCAACAAGCTCCCTGAAATCAACAGCAGCTGGAATCTGTGGTCATCCGGACACAGTTATTTGGAAGAGGCCATAGGAATGGAGGACCGGGTCTAGGCCTTCAGGGCTTGAGGGCTTGGTGTTTCAGCTGAGGGTTCTTAGGCTTTAGGGCAGGAACAAGAAAGATTTTTACCAGTACTGGCTCGTCACTATGTCTCATGAGAGCGGCACGAGTTATTGAAAGATGACGATGCTCGTTTGGGTTGACTTTGATTTTGACAGGGTCCGAAAGGGCTTCAAGCCTTTTGCGGCTACGGCGTGGCTAGTGCACAAGCCCGTTTCAGCACAAAAGCCCCAAGCACAGGAAACCTGCGGCCACGACAACACACGACACCGCCCACGCCCGCGCAGGCACTCAAGCGAATTGATGAAATTCACCTGGAGTTCCCAGATGGTCCCACGGCTGGGATTTCAATTTGATTCAGAGTCTAGTGTTTAGGGCTAATTATGTGTACGAGGCCTGCTGTAAAAAGGGCTAATTATGTGCAAGAGAGGCACGGGAGGTTATGCAATTCTAACAGTCTAACAGAGAAGGGAACTTATCAGAGACTTCGATTCAGGCAACGCAACTTCAATTTGAGATGTGCTGCTGACAGTGCCTGACCCCAGATGACCAAGCAACTCTGTCGACTGCCAATTTCGGCGCTTTCCACAGCGCGAGGCAGCGCATCATCAATAATTTTTATGGGGATCAGTATCGTGTACGTAGTCATCCAAGGAGCAAGCCGAAATTGCCATATTCGGATGAACATAATTACTTCTTCGGCCAAGCTGCGAAACGAGCATCCAGTAGACGACTTCAGCTCACCGAGGTTTCTCCGCGTCTGCCATGAAGTCGTACCCTCGGTGTCGCAAGTGTCCTCCAAGTTCAGGGACATGCTGTCTGTCCAGATGAAAGACACTGTCATGTGGTGACATCACATATCCCCGTCGCGCGTAGTAGCGCGTAGGCTGGAAGACGGCGTTCACGTTTTGCATCGACCATCCGTTTGCCAAGGCGGGCGGGCTCGACCGTCGCCAACTTGCAGGACCTGCCGAAAATCCGAGGCCAAGAGGCCTTCTTGAGTTTACGATGATTGCGTTGTTCCTGTCAGTGATGATGATTGTGTTCATTACGTTGAAGCTGCTGGCGAAGACAAACAAAGGATAAGGAGGATGACGATGAGGGTTGTGTTTGCGATGGGGCTGATGCGGGTGGAGGGAGGGAAGAAAACAGGAGGGAAAGGGGGATAAAGATGACTGCTGGTGTTCTGCTTCGTTTTGTCCGCAACGACTGCTTGTGTGCCTTTAGCTCTTGACAGCCGGTGGCAAGATCATGATGATGATGATGATGATGGTGATCATGATGAGGGCTGTGACCATAATCTCGGCGTGGGTGGGGATGACGCACCATAACTAAAGGTCAGGGTGACAACATCGCCATCATCGTGGCAATGGCAACTGGCACAGCAGCCATGACAAAAGCGAGCGTCGGGATCCAGAGTCGTCCTGGGAGTCTTGCAATCGTGCCAACACATGACCAAGCACCAAGGCAGGAGCAGCAAGCAAGAAGCGTTGCTGCCCAAACTACTACTTTTTCCACGGTACTGGTATTAGTAACAGTACAAGATAGTACACTTCTGTCAGGTTAGACTCATTGCGCAACAGAGAGGCCTTGCAGAAAAGCGTGCCCCTTGCGGGTGCCTCACATGGCAAGCCCTGAACACGAATACCACGATGCCTCGGGGTTTCAGAGCCCTTCCAGACCACAACCCATAAGCGACGATTTCATGCAGGACTTCACGGGCGAAGAGATGGCAGATTTCGCGCGGGAGGAGGCCAGCACTTGATTGCGGCTGCGGATCCGTTTGATCTTAGGCTCTTTGATTGTAGGCTTTGCCTTCTCTTCTGCGTGCCGAGCCTTTCTTCTAGGCTAGCACTGTCATAATGGTGGTCGTCGCCACCAGTGCAACCACTGCGGGTGACATGATGCCGTGCAGCCTGCTTGCTGGTTTACTTGTGGAAGACACAGAGTCCTGGCTTCCTGTTATTCTTTGCCATAAGCGCTTGCATCATCGCGGCGAGAGCCCGGCCGGGCAGGTTCGCAAGGTGGTCAAAGCGCGCTGGAAGAGGCACATGGCTAGCGGCTAGGGGGATGACATGGGAGCTTAAGACCCACTGAGATGTTCGCATAATTTCTAATGAATGGATTACAGGACCTGGGGATGAACCTGTAACTGGTTTACATAGTTGGTCACACGTGGATGCTGGAGGTGCGCAGTCTGAGTTGAGGACAACAGTGATACCACTCGCTTTATGTATGTTGAGGAGTGGTTAGATGCGTATTTGAGGTTGTACTGTAGCCCAAGCCCGAAACAACAAGTGACACGCTGTAGCTTGTAGTCCTCCACCTTCCGAATCCTGGGAGGATCCGGGAATCTCTCTTGATGCTGGCGAGAATCATGGCGGAAATGGACGACGAAGAGCATGTGCCCTGACTGAACATTGGTTTCAAAGACTTCGATGACGGTGATGACCATGGAGAACATGAGGTGAGTGTCAGGATGACGGTCAGGACCATCATTGCAACTATTGAGCTCATGCGCACTACTCGTGCTACCCACGTTAGAATGACATAAACTGGCCCATTCGACATGAATCTGGGGCCCATGCATCAGATGTACGTACTTCAAAAGCTTTACGTGACCCCTGAGAGCCTTGCATGGTCACGCCGAGTTGCGAGTGTCGACAAATGCTCCGAATAGCCGAAAGGAAGCACATGTTGCTTGAATACTTGGAGCTTGCGGGAAGAAGAGCTGTTGCTATCGCACAGGACGGTGAGTTGCCTTCGCTTCACTGGAATATTCGGCCTACTACTGCCCTTGTAACATCTCATCAGTTGTCGCGGTCATATCTCAGAGTCACTTCTGTTTCGTGATAACAGGTAATTTCTTTTATGTATGGCTTGGTTCTTGCTTTTTTGTCAACTCTTACTCTGGTTTTCAATTCATCTTGAGGTTTTCAGTTGGAGCTAGTCTCAATCCCTTGAAGCTTTATCTCAGCCCCCCGCGTCCTGAAGCAAACCTCAGAAGTCTTCGTTGGTCTTGCTTTTGGGGTGCTTGGCTTGATTTGGCTTGTGCAGTGCTCAGGCGAAGATGTTGGGTGGCGATGGCACCTGAGCCGGCGAAGACCCCCGGGCCCCCTTGCCCCATTGAGCTTGTGGACAACAGCTCCTTTGTTTTCGAAGTCCAGAGCTAACGCCCAAAGGTTCCGATCGAGTTGTCTGCCCTTGGTGGTTGGACCCAATTTGGCGTTTGACCATTGATCGCCCGGCCGGCTGATGACTCTCACGACCACTTCTGACACTAGCGTCGTGGTTAAAAAGCCCCGGCACCTAGAGCTGTTTCGCATTGAGCTAGCGGCCGCGGCGTGCCAACCAAGAATGGCAGGCCTTCAGGAACTGTCGTAAAATGAGTGAATGTGTGTGGCCGTGCGCGCTAACACGTCCTATACTGGCGCAGGCTGGATGTCTGCAGCTGCTGGCAGAAACCATAGGCAAAGACGGGTTCACCCACCCGACCCCATTTCAGCAGGACATGCCGTCGGAAGGGCATAAATAAGCCTAGCGGTGTAGATTCTCAGCAGTGCCGTTGCAACTGTCAGCATGCCGAGACGGCATTTGTGAAACAAATGCCAGACATTAGCCCGCCTGTCAAACAGGCGAAGGCTGGGAAACTCTCCAGCCAAACGTCCGCACTTAGCATTCGGGCAGGCAAATAGTACGAGCACTGAATAGTTGTTGAGCCCGAGTATAGAGAGTCATAAGCTTGCAGCATAACAAAACAGACACGGATGAGTGTGGAACTTAATTATCTTTCTGGAACAGTCACCGGAGTTTCGAAGAGATGCGCCTCATGGTGCCATACTTTCTGTCCACATGGCACTGTGAGTGCCTTGTCCTCATGTGCACAGTTTCATGCCAGGCCCTGTGCATCCCTGTGCAGCCTAAGCCAAGCAGTATCGAACTCCGTCGCCAAACGCAGTGCCGCGCAGGGATGCGCATGGGGTGGCCGCTCCAAAGGAGTGTACGTCCTTGCGCCAACTAAGCGTCACCAACTCGCTCTCATCGAAAACACCCAGGCCGAGGCCGGCTCAGTGCCTCGAAGAGTCCATGCGCTGAACCCCAAGACTGTCGGAGTGCCGAGGTTCCTGGCTCTGTCTTGGCAGCAATTTGGCCCGTCATGCGGTCAACAGCCAGTCTCCTAGCTCCGCAGTTTTCTAGGGTTTTGTACCAAATGCGCGCGTTGCACCTTGTGGAAGAAGCACCACCTGTCTTGCCCTGAGCACGGTAAACACAGGGGCGAATTTGCCGGACGGTGTTGTTGCTGTGTCCTTGCCTGATGCCCACCTTGCAGCATGGCGCTCCGCCACCCCGCAAGTTCCCATGACGATGGCCTTAGCCCTGCACCCGAACTCTTGGGGCTCCAAATAGACCAACATCATCCCTTTGTACACTTGGAGTACAGTAAGTCCATAAACAAAATAATTACGGTAAAAGTTGTCGTAACAACACCAGAAAGCATAACAATACATGTTAACAAGAATCTTCACACCAATATAACGTAATGTGACCTTCCAAGGCTCAACGTGAAGGGCAGATCCTTTCCGAGCGTTTGGAGCGGCTCACAGAGGTTCTGCCGAAACTTTCGGATTCCAAAGTCGGGGCTTCGCAGCTGTGCACGATGAGTATGTATGGTATAGAGAACACACACACACACACTCACCCATGTGCGCGTGTGCGCGCACGCGCGCGCAAAGACACAGACGTAAGCTCCGGGCAGGCGCAACAGTCGGGGACTTTGCAGGACGACTGAATCAGAACGGAACTCGGGGGGCTTCCATGAGCACTTAAGGCTTCTTGCTATTCGAATCCCTTCTTAGTTAGTGAATGATTGTACCACCTGCACACTCGTAAAGAATAACAATCTTAAACTACCGCGAGCCCGAAGTTAAAAGGACTTCTAACGCTTCTAAACCACCTATGACTTACTGCATCCATGCTGGCTTCCCCCGAAGAGGTCGCAGACCACAAGCTTCCATGCCAGGAGTTGGATCAGAGACCAACGGAGATGCTGTCCCTGCAGGCGGAACTCGCTTACAAGCTCGTATGTTGTGGACGTTCACATCTCGTGAAGTTACATCTTGTCGTTGGGATTGAGGTTCATAATGCTGCGACCACAAGCTGCTCCAAGCTGCCTATGGTTTTTACGAAGTAATTAGATGTTCATTCGAGAGTTCACGCAGAATGTAATGGATACCGTGGCAGGCAGCTCATACGAAAATGCTGTATAAACTTGGTAGAAAGATCTGATACGGGTTGTGGGGTTTCCTTGCAGCCAGGCATACGCCCATGCTGTCGAGGCTCAGCGATGTGAACTGCCAGTCTGCTTCAGCCCGAAATAACTTCCGAAAGATTTGTTCACGACGCTTCGGGTTTGGGGTTTCTCTGTAAAAATTGGCGAGAGACTGCATCAAAAGCTTTCATGTTCTGCACTTCTGTGACGTTGTCTTGCTGTGTTCATACTTCATTTCCAGATGCATCGGACGGAGGCTATAGCCCTCAGTAGTTATGCAGCTGGAGCGGAGCAGAGCAGCAGTGTTAGTCGTCATGACACTGTCGCTATGGGTGTCCTTACCTTCGATCGCTTGGGGCTGCTGGCACCTTCCGAGCCACTACGCAGCTAGGCAGCTAGGCTCTGTCGAATCCGGGCAGTTTGGCAGCGAAGCCACCATCAAACCTCAAGCTCCCCGGCGCACGGCCGAACATCCACATCCCCAAAAGCCCCAGCCCCGGAGCTCACCCGGTCGGGCTCAGATCGCTGACAGAGAGGAGGTCGATCTTCAGGCCCACTGTCACTGCGGAGGGATGTAGGACGAGGTAATTCAACAGCAGCTGCGTCGTCACCAAATTGTTCAGCAAGTTTCGGGCTGAGTGCTTGCTATGAAGAGGCAGTAGGTGCACCAACAGATACTTGCCATCGCTTCTCAACCACTGCTGCGTGCATAATGGAGTTGCCTAGCACTCCCACGCAAGATGGATGGCCCCATAAATGCACTTGCATCCTACCTTGTTGCCTAGCCTGGCATCGACGTATGGACTCTAAACCTTAACTTAAACCAGATACCATCCTGTTCTAATAGAAACTACGGAGGTTAGTAGACTGAGCCATCTTGCGCACACCCTTAATGGTAGCGACTATGGTGCAGCTTTGCACAGCTTGAGGTTTCACTGCTCGCCAAGACATGCCTCGCCGGGAGAGTCCGAGCATGGTGCAGCTTTATACCAGAGGCGAACTTTCAAGAAATCGTTGCACATATAAGCCCTTACATCCCCTGATCTTGGCTCTGCCGACCTGGCATTCCAACTGCAGAAGTAGACCTCTCAGGACGTAAAGGGAAGCCCAAACAAGAAACAGGTTAGCTGCGGCTCCAAACCGGCGAGTCTTCAGGTTCGGATCGGCGAGGTCCAGGGCGTCTTCGCGACTTTCCGGAAGTTTTGGCCTCGAAGATCTTAAGGGCATTCAGCATCATTCTGCACGGACTGCTGATCTGTGTAGAAGCTTTGGTATGCACATATCTATATATATATATTATATATATACACATATATATATATATATAGATAGATAGATACATATGGTGTAGGGCACTCAGGTCAAGGGTCTTGTGTCTACGAGCTTAGGGCTTGCAGGGTTTGGACGCATTTCGTGCGCTTCATGCATTCAGCGATGTTCTGGATTGAGTTTGCCATGGCATTGCCATGATGGTAGTGGAGTTGCCATGGGACTGTGTCTCCTCTCCGTCTCAGCAGAACACGTTGTGGAGATCCAAACACCCAGCGTCTCGCCTCGGCCTTCGGATTGCCCAACCCTCCGAGTCAAACGGAACTGCTAGTATATTATCATGACCCTTATGACGTAAGTCTAAGCAGATCCTCGTATGGTATGCGGGGGTCCCCCCTGCCATATCCCGCCGGCACGATGTTGGGCTTGCTGATTGACTCAGACCAAGGCACGGCGTGCGCGTTATGCGTGGCACTTACGAACAGCTGGCTAGGCATTGGATCGGCTAAGTGCGCAGGTGTAGTAATCGCGGACATGGCAAGGCTTTTGTGACCTTTGTCAACTTGACATGATGTTCCCACTTTACGTCCATTGTACCTGGTCGGCAACAGTTGCAAAGTAGCTTAGGTCGGAAGACACGGAGCTGGTGGAGAAGCTGGCTGAGCAGATGCGTTCCCCTCAGACGATGCAGCCACGGAAACCCGCGCCGCTGCCCAACCTCCTCAATGCCCCCGAGGAACAACACAATGCAAAGACGACACAAGCCCAAGATGCTGCTGTCAGGGAGGAGTTCTGGTCGACACTTCCTGCGGCGAAAGGCTACCTCACACAGAAGCGGAGGGAACAGCCTGCGCCTCGAATCACATTTGCTACAGCAGGCGCAGTGTTTGCTGGCCTATTTTCTACTGTCCTGCTTTTGGATGTTTTGGGTGGCTCGAGCCCGATGCAAACAAAACAGGAGCAAGATAAGGTGCACAGATGTGCTCCTGCGTCTCAGGCAGTTTGGACCTGCTAATGTCGTTCGGGACTCGGTGGCTTTCAACCAACCCTGGCATTCTCAGAGACGTGGGTCCGTCGGGCTTGCAGCTTAGCCGAAAGTTCCAGTCATGATGTGATTATCGGCATTCTCTGTTGCGCATGTCCGAGATGTACACGTGTGTGTGTGTGTTTGCTTGTTTTTTCAGTCACGACTGGCTTGCAGCAGAGCATGCAATTGGCAGCCCATTTGATGCACATTGCCTCCGGTGTGCTTTGCTCAAGTTGTTCCCAGTTGCTCCCTACTCAGCCCAGATGATCAGAGGTCAGTCCCTTTACAGCAAGGAAAATGTTCGGCAAATTCTCTTTCACATACCGGTCTGAACAAGTTAGAGAAAGATGTACGTGCCGCAGCCTGGACCTCTCCGTCCCAGGGCCTCTGCCTTGGGAGTTTCTTGGATGCCTTCGGTTTGACAGACTACTCAGCGGCTGGATGGACATCTTACGAATCTTTGGGCTGTTGCCAAGTCGGTTCACAAGTTTTGGTGAAACGATCGGAGTCGACGTGTCAGCAAGTGTCAGAAGAAACCCAGGTTCTTCTCTTGTGCGGGAGCCTTGGGTTGGGCTGGCGCAGCGCCTGGGTGCCGGGATGGGGTGCCAGGCAAGTGGGCCAAGGCTCTCTGTGCAATGAAGGACGCGCACAGCCATGGTTGCTCGAGCACCCCTTTTTTCATACATTCCCACAACATGTGATTGGACTCCTGAGGGCAACCCTGTTCTACGCAGCCCTGGCCCTTGCAGTGCTGCGCTTAGCATCTTTCAGGACTTTGGCTGGACAGCTACTGCGCCCATGGAATGCGACCGGCCGAGCCGCCCAATCTACTAGAGCAGGCGAACGGGGCTGTTCCGAGCCGTTTCGCGGCTGAGACGCCGGTTGAATGCATGTAACGTGCCGTAAAGATTTAGAGATTCCGAGCGGCAACAGGCCTGTCAAGATGAGCAGCAATGAACCATGAGAAGCCTGAAAGCATGGCCGACCGATCGACAGACAGACAGACCGACAGACAGACAGAGACAGACAGACAGAGACAGGCAGACAGACAGACAGACAGACAGACAGGCTGCCAGGCAGGCAGGCACACACACACACCCAATAATATATTACACATACATACACACACACATATATATATATATACATATACATACACATACAGATATACACACATACACACATGCACATTAAACATGTACATACTTACATAAGTACATAGGTGCATGCATACATGCATGAATGTATAAGCACACATAGACAGATACATCAGAGAAACGTTGACGGGATGGGAAAACCTCGCCAAAGACGGCCCTCCAAGTCCATGAGCCCACAGCACGAACACCGACAGGACACAACGATTGTTTCGGGGATTTGGGGGTCGGACAGAGCACAGGGTCCTAGAGATCTACTCTGGAGTGCAATGCCGTAAATGGATCGCAGGAGAGTCTGAAACGCGTAACCAAGCCTACTCTCGACATGCCTTGCAAGGACAGGGTCCTGGGAGCACCACCGACGATTAGGGCTAAGGGCCTCTACAGAGTTCCGTTGTAGCTTGCGGAGCTTAGCGCTTGGGATTTTTTCCGGAACGCTCAGAACTGACAACCTCCCCACAGCCTGCAGATCTCCGCCATGGGCCCACCACCTTGGGCTTTTCTGCCTCCCTGGGTGCAGATGCTTGCTCCGTGCCATGTCGTGAAAGACAGCTGTACATCTCCAGGTCCAGGGTTCCAAACTTGCTTTTGCTCGTCTTGCAGGTTTCCTGATTTTCGCAGATGGGTTGCCAAGGTTGCTCATGCAGTTTTTATGAGCTGCAGTGGGTGTCTACGTTAGTTGATTAGTGCCGTTTCTACGCGGGTCAGTTCATCATGGGTGTTGGAGTTCCTCATTTTTGCCTTCTACGGGATTCTGGAGATGTGGGCTCCTCTACTGGGTTCCAGGTCTTGACAATCTCCCTCTGATTGCTCTTGCTACAATCACCTCCGCCTAGCGGCCCGAGTGCTCTTAAGAGGACTTGTCCATTATGAAAGCCTCTTGTCTCGGTAGTCCCCAGTCCTCCGTTTGACCCGAGAAGTCTTGTACAAGGACTGACTGAGGCTGTGTATATATATATATAAAGAGAGAGGAGAGAGAGAGAGAGAGAGAGAGAGAGGGAGAGAGAAATACATATGTGTATGTGTATACTTATATGTATAACTGTACACATGGCCCTGAGCTTGTAAAACGATATGGAATGAAATATCACGATAAGGCTTCAAATAGACATAGGAATCCGTGATTGGGTTTTTTGGACCAACCCACATGAGCTCGGGGTTGGAGGGGCAGGCATAGCTACAGACCCCTGCTCAAGAACATATAAAGGACTCAAGGCGCAGTCGCCTTGCAAATCGACTTGTCGGTCGCATCCCAGCTTTTGACGTGCCGGATTCTTTTACATGCTCTGGCTTAGAGTTGTAGGGATTCCGGGTCACTGCTGCTTAGGACCATGATCGTTTGATGCCGTTGACGTTGAGCAGCTGCCTGGAATTGTTTGCCCTAACGCCTTGATCCGCCCCTGTTGCTGGCTCCCCGACAACGTTTCGTAGAACCCTGTCTCAAGGAATAGTGCTTTGTACGCAAAAGGCACGTGACTTTTCGCACAAGGGCTTCCTTGGACGATGTTTAAGTTGAACCTGAGCTGAGCACGGTGAGAACTGAAGCCGACCAGGTTCGTGATTATCATCGTCCTTGGAGCAGTGCCACGTGCCTGAATACATGAGCAGCTGATAGGATTTCTGGCCTTAGGTCAGGGGTCGGAGAAGAGGAGGATTCAC